GTGACTGCTTCAGGATCGAGGGTGGGGGTAGAACATCGGATCACTAGGATTGATGTTCCCCATATCACCTCCACGGCGTGGCTCACAGAGTCTTTATGAGGTTGCACCTGCCGAATCAGATATTGTCTAACCCCCTTCACTTTAAAAACAAGCAGCCTCTCGGCTGAGATAGCTCCGCTGTTAGTAATGCACATTTCAATTAAAGAACAGAAGATATCATTAGAAAATGAACAATATGCATAGTATCAATGCAATGGGACTTGCTGTTCTCAACAGGAATTCAAAAATATCATTTTTCACCATAAATGATTGTGGTTTTTAACAAGAAGAAAATATCACTTTTTACCAAAAATGACAAAATATTCACCAAAATTGGAAAATTAAAGATATCATCATGAAATGAACAAATTTGAGAATGGTCCACATGTAGTACCTATATATGTAATATCAAAGCAATTGGACTTGCGGTTTTTAACAAGAAGTTGAAAATAACACTTTTTACCAAAAATGACAAAATATTCACCAAAATTGGAAAATTAAAGATATCATCATGAAATGAACAAATTTGAGAATGGTCCACATGTAGTACCTATATATGTAATATCAAAGCAATTGGACTTGCGGTTTTTAACAAGAAGTTGAAAATAACACTTTTTACCAAAAATAACAAAAATATTCACCAAAATTAGAAAATTAAAGATATCATCATGAAATGAACAAATCTGAGAGAGGTTCACATGTAGTACCTATATATGTAATATCAAAGCAATTGGACTTGCGGTTTTTAACGAGAAGTTGAAAATAACACTTTTTACCAAAAATAACAAAAATATTCACCAAAATTAGAAAATTAAAGATATCATCATGAAATGAACAAATCTGAGAGAGGTTCACATGTAGTACCTATATATGTAATATCAAAGCAATTGGACTTGCGGTTTTTAACGAGAAGTCGAAAATATCACTTTTTACCAAAAATGACAAAAATATTCACCAAAATTAGAGAATTGAAGATATCATCATGAAATGAAAAAATTTGAGAGTGGTCCATATGTAGTACCTATATATGTAATATCAAAGCAATTAGACTTGTGGTTTTTAACAAGAAGTCGAAAATATCACTTTTTACCAAAAATGACAAAATATTAGAGAATTGAAGATATGATCATGAAATGAACAAATCTGAGAGAGGTCTACCCAAGGTACATATACACCAAGTATCAAAAGCATTCAGGCTTGTAGTTTTCAAGAAGAAGTCGAATAAGTAAAACATTGACACGGACGACGGATGACGACGGACAATCACTCATATGATAAGCTCCGCTCGACAAAGTCGACAGCGGAGCTAAAAAAAAAAGTGAGCAAGGAGTGTTCGAGACACCTCTGATGGCTGGGTCGGTCCCCTCTGGGAGCGACTGTGGGTCCTCGAGGGAGGAGTGACCCGTAATAGAGGCAGGACTCAGGAAAAAAATAATCCCTTGTCACTGGATCTGAAAGACAATCCCTGGCTGGAAGAGTGCAGGGGGGTACAAAACCAATGTCCTGCTCTGCTCGGTCCCCTCCGAAATCGGAGGCCTGACCACCAACCCCAAATCGGCCACCTGTGGACTAGGTCTCGGCGGAGACCCTGTAACACCATCCTGTGCCCCACCTGCTTACCAAAAACTATGGGAAGGTTGGGGATGGGATCGGAGGGATCCTAGGAGGAAGCATTTCTTGATCGCGAATATTGACGCAATTTGTCCCAGCAGGCCCTCAACCAAAGCCTGAATCATGTAGACAAACTCTGGCACGCTGCGAGGAGGAAAGGTAGACAACGGGAGGACTTTCACTCATGCTAGCACTCACTCACTCACTACCACAGGGCCCCGAAATGAACACGTGATCAACTAGATCAGTCTCGGCAACATGCACACGGTCCTGAAAAACATCCCAAACCATCAGAATCCCAGTTCGTGTACATGATCTCGTGGCAAAACCACAAACTCCAAACATATCCCAAGCCCAGACGACGTTGCTATGGGGGTTACCCACCTGGGAGCTCCGGAGGTAATTGCTGCACGACCGAATCAGTTCTGGGGGAACAACCTAGGAGACGAGGAGATTAACGGACTGATCTCTTTCTTCCTGTCCATTTTGAAAACCACACTAGTAAAATGAACAAGGCATGCATGAGTGAAACAAATCACAGTTAAAAGCTGACACAAAGAGACCTGACAACGTGGCCGAATGAGTCATCAGTAAGAAAAAACTTATCCTACCAGCCACTACGTCTACTGTTACCAATGGTACACAGCTTCTTCAAAAAACTCAGTCAAAAAACTAGAGATTGAATCGCACTTTTTTGCTACGATGCACACTCGATGCAAAGAAAAAAAAAGTGATCATAAGGTAAGATGACGTTGCTCTCCTTGTCTCGGCCACGTGGCGTGTGACGTGGAAGAAAATCTATGAGGTCATGGGGATTCCCCTGACCTAGATTTCTCTCTCCATCGTTGGCTGAATCGCAGATTAATGCCTACAGTTCAAAATTGATTTTTTGACTATGGTGGTTAATTGAACGTAGGGAATTGTAAAGATTTATATACAGTGCATACCGGTAACTTTTATTTCACCATGTTTCTTCTTTACTATTTATGTACAGCCTTATAAATCTTGCTAAGTGTTCAAAAGAGATCATGTTTGTGTCGGTTTTCTATATTTTAAAATTAAGTATGTTCCACTGCAAAATTTAAACAGTCATTAGCAGAGGGAAAAAAAAATTACTCCAAGTGCCTATGAACCTGCATCTATACCTTAATGCTTAGCCGAAATTGATCAAACATACCAATTACTTTTACACTTTGTATTCTTTTGGCATTTGCCATCAAGGATCAACCTTGTAATCGCAAATCACCAAACTTAACTTGTTGCTTTGATCTTTGAAAGAGTGAGAAAATTCAGGAATTAGCAGAGGTTTGCGGGAATTACTCAGTGGATAGGAATATATAATTAGCTAGAGTAGAGAAATAATTTATAATTTTTTTTACTTTGTCAGAAATTTTGAAAGTTTTGCATGAAGGATGTGAGTTGACAGTGTTCATTTGTGTGGCACTCTCCTCATTTCTGTGTCCGATTCTACAATGCAAAGTCTGTTGTATTGTGAGGGTGAAACATGTGAACATTCCATGACTGCATTCATTTTTGTGTTTGTTCAAGGATAAGCACATAAACAAACATGTGGTAGATGCATCCATAGGCTGAAAAAGCACAGTGCAGTGTGTATGTTTTGAACCCAGTAATTCCTTTAATTTGTTTTTACTACTTTTTGTTTGTTTTGCTAACCATTTCAAAGAAATAGTATTTCCCAAATTCCACATATGATAAGTGAACAACAACAATTATTATTATTATTATTATTATTATTATTATTATTATTATTATTATTATTATTATTATTATTATTATTATTATTATTATTTACTAATTTGGGTCAGGCAACCATTGTCTGAAAACAGGTAGACACACAAAACCTAAAACTCAAGTGTAAGAATCATCAAAATAAATTCTTGACATTATGAATTAAGATGACAAAAAATATTTTGATAATGAACAAAAATGATATTACTGAAAAAGCTAAATATATTAAATGCAAATTCTCTATAAGGCAGCAATATCAAACCAGTGTGTAGAAGAGAGTGTCTCATATTTATTTGTTTTCATTATTAAATGTGCTTTTTTGTTTTATATTGTTACTTTCTACATTTTATTCTTGTTATGAACCTTACGTGACCTCACTGCTAATCTCCCTGGAGACAGTGTTGCATCTAATAAATAAAAACTACAATAACATCATATCTCTAATAGCCATTTCCAAAACCTTGGATAGAGAGACATTTGTTTATGAGATTAGTAAGGAGATAAATATTTACAAGTACAAAGACAAACAACAAATTGATAAGAGAGTAGACATTATAAAAAAATAGGTGTCATGCCTTTAAAAATGGCATGACCAGCGTGATATACCAGATTAATAAAACAAGAGCACAACACAACACTTTTAGAATTTACATTCCAATGGAAGACAAATTCCGAAATCATTTAACACGGACAATGTGATTATTTAGTGACCGTGAACTCAAAACATATGCTTTAATTTTGTTAAGTTTTCATAATTCGAAACGTGGATGAGAAAATAAAAAAAAAATACACGTCGAATTTGCTGAACTAAATGTGAATTGGCCACGAGAGACGTTTGGGCTGTCTTGCACTGCCCTCACGATATGCAAGTGTGGCAAATACTACAATACACATTGTTGTAAAAGTCAGTCTACACAATTAAGTAGTATTTATTTTTATTTTTTTAATTGAAGTGGCAACGATACGATAACAAAACTGCGACCACGACTGTGGGAGCATGGCTGAATTCAGATAAGTCATAAGTTTGTGCAACTTAAATACAGATTTACTGTTTGCTTTGTTCCTCGAAATAGTAACCCCTATATCAATGGCATCAAAACACAGTGCGTCATCGCATCAACCAGTCTTCCCCACCACAGGCTCTCGGTGTTCCTGACCAGAAAATGTGAAAACGCGTCCTCGACCAGATGAAATAGCGCAATGTTAAGAGCCAAAAAAAACGATACTGACCTTATATTACGGAATTTCAGTTAGACTACGAAAAACCATCAACGAACGAAATTTTCTGCAAAGGAGAATGAAGTACGCAGCCAGCGACAGCAGACTGACAGAACTTTCTCTTGTGTAAATATGTTGTGACGTTTCATTGTATGTGTAAGTCTCTTCCATGTTATTTGAGAGGAATTACGGGTTTTGTATGCATTTTTACCACATATAAATAAATTACTAACCATATAATATTTCTGTTTGTTCCATGCGTGTGAAATAATGTTATTCAATTCACAAATTCGCTTTCCAAATATTTCTATCTCAATATACCAAAATTAAACCTGCTCTACCCATACTTGAAATAAGTCGTCCTGGATTGTACGCACCAAATCGTGACGTTTTACACATGAGGTGTCGGACTGGACCAACGTACGTGCGTGTATGGAACGATTTAGCATCGTTTAGCCGTGTTCGGGCATCCTGTTTCCATTTATGACTGACATTTTCATGAACGATAGTTTAATCTGAAACCCAGTATAATAGTATTTCGGATATCATCTGTGGGATATCAAAACAACCGCTATGGAGGCGCCTGTCATCATCAACCCGTTTCAACAACATGGCGGCGGTATTGCTGTTGTTGACTCGGATGACGGGCCTGGGACACCTGGGTCCGACAAAGAGGTATATGCATTTTAACACGATTTCATATATTATTTTCTGCATATTTATAAATATAAATATATTAATATGGAGTCGAGGCAACATTTTTCACAGTCGTGCTTGGTCTCATTTTTTTTTACAAAATACCATCTATCATAACACGGTAGAATCGTAGTTTTGTTGCGATGACTCACTAAGTACGCATTATCCTATTTGACTTCTACTCTTAAAGTGTATGACTAATGTCTAGTCTCGTATATATCAGTTTAATTTTCTTGTAAACATTCAAAGAAAAGTATCCTTTCACAAAACGTTTTTAAATTTATTCCACTGATTCAGTGGTTTGATCTATACCATAGCGTAGGTGGTCTTTCACATTCTACCTCACATGAAAATGATGGCTGTATGAATAGTAACCGTGCTGAGAGTGACATAATGTACAAGCATTGATAGAGCTATGCATAGTCTGACTTGGTGACATGAGTAGGGTCAGTTGAATCCATGGAAGTGATGCCTCTGTGAGTCACATAATGTACAGGCATTAGTATATCTATGCGTAGCTTGATACGGTTACATGCGTAAGGTGGGAGCTGCCGTGGAAGTGAAGTGATGCCTCTGTGACTTGTAAGAGAACTAAATAAAGTTCAGTAAAGAATAGAACTTCAAGAAGATACGTTTTTCTGTAAAACTACTTGATGATGTTAATTATAGCTCGAAAATATGCCAACTAAACCTTAACAAAACAACTTTTTTCCCGGAGGAGTTCTGACTAACTTCTCATCAATTATTCATGTTTTTAATGGCTGTGTTTATCTGTGGAATTACTCCGGAAAGCAATTCTCTGTATTCAGGCTTCCATCATATTCAACTTTTGATATCATTTATTGGGGAAATGTTGAATACCAATTTGATAACATATTTGTGTGAATGATAGTCATACTTAATTTTGAACTAGTAGTATCTGGTCAAATGGCAATTTATGGTAATTAGCTACCATAAAAACAACATCTAGATGCCCTGCAAGAAGGGTTGGGTTATGGTATATATGGTAACCAAACTATATTTTTCACAAAACGACCTCGAAAATTGATCATAAATGTGTTTTTTCAGTAGTTTACAATTGGTTCGTATGGCATTCCATCATATCTAAAAATTGTGTTCAGTGACCTATGTAGTGTTATGAGGGCTACATATGGCTGTCACGAAAAATTGATTGGAGAATTTTGAATATTAGTATAAGTTATCCATGGAGTAATATGCTTACATGGATCCCATGGAAAAGGCTTAGTGAATCGAATTCTTGTGCAAGGGGGTTACTACATACAGTAATTACCAAAATTAGTATTCCAATTGAACTACTAGTACTAGTAATGTATCAAAGTATGGGTTGTCTTATTTCTATGTCTTCATAATAGTGTGCATGACAAGGACCAAACCACTGAATGACTACCCAACATATTGGACAGCTACCAGCGTTTAAAATAGGTAGCCCACTCAGGCTGCCAAGACAAATGCTTAATTTTGACCTCTGACCTGTGTTTAACAGGTGTTTAACCTGTGGTTAACCTGTGGTTATTTTTTTTTCTCTTTGAAAACTAGGTGTTAACCATCAAAATACGAGACGTAAATCCTCATGTTGTGTGTATATTATGTGCTGGATATTTCATTGACGCCACAACAGTTACAGAATGTTTGCATACATGTGAGTATCACAAGTACACCATATAATCTATAGGAATGGGTGATTTGAAAGGTCAAAGAGAAGGTCATATACATGTATGTGTACCGTATTTATCCGGGTATAAGCCCCGGGTCTTGAACATGGAAAATTGACAAAAAGAAGGGATGGGCATTTGCCAGGAGATCCCCGGCAAAAAAAACGAAATTCGCGAAAATTTACAACAAGCAGATTGAACTGCGGCAGGGAATAGAACGGCAAATGAAAACATGCAACGGAAATAAATGAACAATATACAACACTAAAGGTAAAACAAAAATAATGTATTGCTTATAATGTGACAAATAAACCAAAAATAATAAAAATCGACAGTGAGGAATCATTTGAATTAAGATTTTCTCGCCGACAAACACGCCCAATACGCGTGAACTCAAAATGAATTAAAATTTCAGGGGTTAAACTGCGTAAAATGATTTCCGGTCTCGACAAATTACGAATCAACCGTCATACAAGATCAATAATAATTTACAAATTTACACAGTAAAAATTATAAAAAATCATAGCTGTTTGAAAAAACTTCTCAGATCTTTATTTGTACGTTCATTGCCATCTTCGTCAAACTCAAAACCCTCAAATGTTAAAGTCGGCGTCACTGTAGCCGTCGAACAAAATCCCTACAACTTATTCCTGAAGCTCGTCGATATCGTCCCACACAATTTGGACTTATCCACGGATTTCGCAGTCTGTCAGCTTGGCACTTTTTATTCATGTCTAATCATAATAAAGA